GTTTGGGGTTTTACAGTCATTAAATATAACAAGACCAAATGCTTCTCAGATTTGGAAATTGCCTATTTTTTTAATTGCATTTATAATGTAAATACAAATAATTGTTCATCACTAAATCAGTCACTGCAGTATCTGATCAAAGTCAGTGTAGATGGGCTGGTCTGGAAGACTAATACAAGCAAACTTGGCCGAGTCCAAAAAAAGGACAGCCAAACTACAGGAGTTGGCCATCTGAGGGGCATGTGAGTGCAATGGACGAGAGTTCATAAGAGACTGAACCATGACATGTTTAGTTTGAAGCCCTACAATGACTTGCCCTTTAATTCATTTCTTACTTTTATTATACTACTCTGGAGATGTTTAAGTTTGAATTTCATCTAGTAAAGCAGCTTCAGCATCATTACACTACTAAGATTTTTTAGATTTTATTTTCAAATAAAGAGTTTTATGCTGACCAGCTTATTTATCAGTTACACATCAATAATATAGTCTATTTAAATAAGGGTGAGTATTGGCATGGTTGTTGCGATACAATAATTGGGTCACAAAATGATATGATATTGCAATGTCACTATATATATTGCAATATTTTTCCCAGCTATCAAATTAAATGTATAGGCTAAAAAAGCAAGTGGTGTATGTTCATCAGAAGATACTGATCATTTAGTTATTTTGGTATCAATGTTTGGGATTTGAGTCGGTCCACATCTTCCACTGAGACTGCCTCAATTACAGATATGGAGCTGCACCACAATGCAAAGTGTTTTTTAAAATCAATACTGAAACTGGAAGGAACTGAAAGATCAACATTATATAGCGGTCAGCCGAAAATCACAACATATCATCTAATTGGTTTTCCCCACACCCCTATATATGAATAGCAAATTAAAAAACAATAGGCGTATATTGCAGCTTTAAATGGGGGCTTTCACCAATGTATTTCAAAAGTTCAAATGTAATTAAATTTACAGTGAAATTCAGGTCATCCTGCTCATGTTTATTCGTATCAGCCAATTATTACAATATTTCCATTATTAGACTGAAATTGTGCTGATTCACTGACTGGGAAATCATTAACCTTATGAACTCAACATCAAGTCACTGAGCGCTTGCAATTTGCAAATTCATCCGCCGCTTGAGGTGACAAGATTCGGAAGGATTCTCGGTCCGTCACGCCAAACTAATATTAATTTTAAGGAGAACAGGTATCTATTAGATATACTGCATTTTCCTGCCCTTTTCACACTTCCAATAAAAAAAAATTAACCACACAGCAGATACTTTTTCTCTGCATTAATCTGCAGTTACTATTGTTTAGTCTAAGTTGAGTTTTCCCAGTAAAATGTTAAATTATTTCAGAAAGAAGAACCGATATTGGTTGTTCCTTAATGCTACTTTTTTTTGCATACCTCAGCAAAAAAGGAAAGCACCCCCTTACCCCCACCCCACACACAGAAAATAAAACAGAAAATGAAAGATTTTAACCCAGCTGACAGACTAAAAATTAACTTCTTCCTCCCTAAACTATCCTCCATCCATCTGTGTGTTATAATTAAATGAGTTTCCAGAAAACCAATAACACAGATTAAAAAGGAAAGGCCGACCAAATGTAAGCGTTATTGCATCAAGTTTATATCAATATTACATTTTTGGAATAGTTTAACTCTATAAATTCTGTAATTCAATACTGAGACACAAAGTTTTATACCATGAGAAAAGAGACCTTTGAATCTTTGATCTGCCTGTTGAGACTGCCTCACCACACACAAACACACAGTAAGCCATTTAAGGACATCAGCCTTTTAAAACCAATCTCTCACTTCAGCAACCTCAATGACACACTGTCACCTCCAACAAAACAAACACTAGTGCCGTTCCTCTGCTTTTGTAGTAACCCCAGCAAATAAGGAGCGAGGGAAAGCCACATGCCACAGAAAACACACTCCTCCAAGACGTGACTGCATCAACTCACCCTGCTGAAGGTATGTGTCCATCTAAGGTTGGAAACTGGATGGGTGGCGCTGGTAGCAAGAGCATGCACTAAATAAGACCGTCGCCAAAACACAGGACGAGGCTCTGCAACCTCACTATTAACATCCAGGACCAAATATTTCCGGGTTGGTCGAGGCCAATCAGACCACAGTAAAGCTGTCACTGGGACTGACTCAGCAGGATGGGGGTGACAGGCAGCCCTCCTCTGCATCTTACCTCCACAGATCTGATGGTGGAAACGCATACATCCGCTGCATACAACTTCTGTATGTGTATACAAACTTCTTTACCCATTTAGGCCACAAACAAGAGGTTGGTAGATGAGAAAAAAAATGTTTAGGGATGGGAAACCGTTTGATAACTTAAGCTGTAAAGATGGGCACAGTTACTCGTTACTATAGCAAAGAACAGAACAACAATATGTTGTTCATCAGTCCACCCATATAGTGATGATATTTCAAACATAACTTTCACAAAACAAAATTTAAACAATCTTTTTACACATAAAATATAAATTTTTCCTTATTTATTTAATGCAAAAAAAAAAAAAAAACAAGCATACTTTTTTATGAAAATGGATGAAACATGTATTCTGATGCACAAATTTTGAGTTTAAAGAAAAAGGAAAACAAAACACACACAGGTGATGGATACATGTGGTGTATTAATTGTGGGTTATCTTGAAATGTCTTCATTTGATCCAAAACTCCTATGTCTGCCTTTTAAACCAGCGGGGCATTTTCTCTTCTGTATGCCACACTACTTGGAAAGAACATGGGAATTGGTTTAAGCTGAAAACAACAGGGTACATCAAGAAGAAAATTGGAAATCAGCAAGCCAGGAAATTCAAAATCTGTCATCTCTCCAAATGTCAAAAAAAAAAAAACTATCCTTATTTCATAATTGCAATAGAAGGCTATACATCCAGAATTTAGACAATGTTTTCAAGACTATTTAAGTGAGCATTTGAAGAAAATTAACTGAACTCTGTCTCTACTAAACTCTTAATTACTTGCATTGTTCCTCCTCATAAAAGTCCCCAGGAAGAGGGAATTACAAGCCAATAAAATACACCATTACCACAAAAGGAAGGGTAGCTCTAAAGGAAGAAACAAAAAACAAACATCAGCGAGCTGAAAGACATCAACGTATGTTAAAGGCTCCAGTTAAGAAAATATGAGCACATGATTATTGATCAATACTATAATACTGTGATACATCAGCTCATCTTTCTTTCACAACTGCTACAATCATTGATGTAAAAATTACTCAATGCAAAACTGCAACCAGGCACTGAGGAGCTTTGCTGCAGCTTGATGATGACAAAGACCTGTAACTGCCAACTGAACACATCCGATTGTCTGGGGCAGTGACCCGTGACCACATCCTCTTTCCAAAGTAAAACAAGTTCATGTTAAAAAGCTGGAAAAGGAGTAACTACCAACTTAAATGACTCCTCAAGTTGCTGAAACAAGACTGAGATAGCATGTTTGAGGATAAGGTGAACTTTATACCTTCCTGTAAAAGGAGCAAGATATAGATATATAGTAGGGTAGCTAATGTTTATTTTTACTATTCATTTAATTACTACTTAAAATTGACATGTAGTGTTTAAATCAACAGGCCTCTTTCCTGAGATATCTGCTTCTCAGGCCAAACTGAAATATAGCAGTCTGTGTGCCTAAATTTGGATGACAGAGTGCACACCTTCCCTGTTTCGCTTCATTATCTCCAGTTAAAATACTCTGCAATACCCTACACAACCCATGGAGTCAGATGAGGAATGGAGCCAGCAGCTCTTGGGTTATCTCGCTGTGACTACCTAATTTGCTAAAGGCTGTGGCATATGCTTATCACTCCAGGTCATCCTAAATCCCTGCAATCTGTGGCTCTGACAACACCACAGAGCTGTAACCAACACACATAATTAGTGGAGGTGGACCAACTGATTACTCGCCAACTTATAAGCAAATTTGTGTCTTAAAAATTATATTTATATATTATCAGCATCCACCACACTTTAGAAAACTAAACAAATTAAAAGCCAGACAAATCTATGGAAGATCTGTGTTGTTTTGCATACAACATCCTTTGTCATGAGTCACACAAGTGGTGGATTTTAAAGGAAATTAACACAAATGTATGCAAACTTTTAGATGAAATACACTGTATATACCTATGCAATAGAAAGATCCTAACCCCTAGCTGTGAGAACTGATATAAGTGAGGAAAATGTGTCTGTTCTGGGTCCACAGCAGCCAATTCGATGTTTCTACAGACCAAATTGGATTCAAAATAATAACTTTCCTCTACTTTGTGTAATCTGCGATGCAGGTACCATTGGAGACCTATTTCTCTGCCTTTACCCGTGATGCTGATCAACTAGACCAAATAAATCTACGTCGTTAAATCCGTCCTGTGTTGAACTGCTTTGGAAAACATCAGCTTGTAGGTCGACCTCTAGAGATAATCATAATATTCTATCATAACATTAATCAAACAGCTCAAATCGTAAGCCTGCTTACAGCTAAATCCTCTCCTATAATAAAATATCCAATCGAAGTAATTATGAACGTCAGTTTGTCGGCAATCTGGATTCAAGCAAGCAGCCCAAGTCCCGTTATGAAGCTCGTTAGCAAAATGCCGCTAACTAGCCAGCTTAACAGGCTGCTGCTCACACCGTTAGCTGCGGCTCGTTAGCAGCCGAGCTAACCAGCCCGACACATTCCTTTCCTTTGGGTGTTACCAAAACACAGTCAGCTTCAGGAATGTCCGGCACCCGAGGTCGTTTAATAATTCAAACGGTCCACCACACATAGCAGGTTGTTAATTACGCCGAAATACTTCACATTTCGAAAGAAAATGTCATAAACCCATAGCTAACGTTACCTGCCCTTCCGCTTGGCCTTGACTAAAATGGGGAGTGCTCACTCTGGTTTAGACTTTTAGGCAATTATTCTATTCCCTCCCCGAGAACAAAAAAACCCAAGCAAACACAGCCCACTCACTGTATCGTGTCCGCTCCCGCAAGTGTCCACGCCACGAACTCCGACGTGACTTATTTGAGCGCGTTTAGCACGTAGTAAAGTTTGTCCAGCGCCGCTCACCGTCTCTGGCTGACTGTCTCTGCCGCTCCGCAAGTGTCAGTTGGTGGAGTTTCTCCTCCAGTGGCAGCGGACGTCACCAGGACTGATGGTGGCTTTTCTTAAAAGAGTATGACACATGGACCCTACTACAGAAGAGGATTATAGCCACTGAAAAAAATAAAAAAACTGATTTTTAAATTTTATTTCTGTATAATATAAGAAAAAAGTCCTTATTCTAAGATTAAAGTCAGAATTCTAAGATTAAAGTCAGAATTCTGAGATTAAAGTCAGAATTCTGAGATTAAAGTCAGAATTCTGAGATTAAAGTCAGAATGCTGAGGGGGAAAAAAGTCAGAATTCTGAGATTAAAGTCAGAATCCTAAGAAAAAAGTCAGGATTCTGAGACTAAAGTCAGAATTCCGAGAAAAAGTCAGAATTCTGAGATTAATGTCATTAAAGTCAGAATTCTGAGATCAAAGTCAGAACTCTTGTAAAAAAGTCTACATTCTGAGATTAAAGTCAGAGTTCTGAGAAAAAAAAGTCTAAATTCTAAGATTAAAGTCAGAATTCAGAGAAAAAAAGTCAGAATTCTGAGAAAAAAAGTCAGAATTCTGAGAAAAAAAGGTCAGAATTCAAAGATCAAAGTCAGAATTCTGAGAAAAAAAGGTCAGAATTCAAAGATCAAAGTCAGAATTCTGAGAAAAAAATTCAGAGATCAAAGTCAGAATTCTGAGAAAAAAAATTCTGACAAAAAAGTCAGAGTTCAGAGATTAAAGTCAGACTTCGGAGATTAAAGTCAGAATTCGGAGAAAAAAGTCACAATTCTGAGCAGCACTTTTAACAGTTTTAACCTGTATAAGGATTATTTTAAATCATGCATGTTTGCAATGTGTTTCCAGGCTTACCTGTAACATAAAATGAATGCATTTAAGAATGCTATTTCAACTTTAGTGGATAGCTGTCAGTATTATAAGTGGCCCAATAATGTTTTCAATTAAGTTGTAATTGATTATATATCATATAATGGTAGAACTTTACTCCTGTTATTAAGAATATATTGACATTTTTAGTTGTAGTCTGTATCAATAACATCTTCCAGAACCATTCTGGACTCAACTTTTGTTAACCAAAGGTTGGTTTTTTTAGTTAACCTTTATTTAACCAGGGGAAAAATCCCATTGAGATTAAAAGCCTCATTTTCAAGGGAGCCGGGCCAAGAGGCAGCAAAGTTACATAAGAAACAGAGATACATTAAATTAAATGACCGATACATAAAAATGAAAACATATCAACTAATATCAATTACAGATCATTGAGGCTGCTTCATATTCTTTCACTTTTAACTAAAAAGCATTTAAAGATTAAAAAAAAAAACTCATTCGACTAACAGTTTCTTTGTAAAAAAAAATCCACACACAAGGAGCTAAAGGTTAAAGCAAGTGGAACCTATTTGAAGACTTCTCTAAAGGTGAATAAGACTTAACTTTTCTATAAGCACACAGTGTTGCATTACTTATCCTTTGTCACTGCGTTGTTCCATAAGCTAGGATAGAACTGGGGAAAGGGGCTTTTCACTTAACTCTTCCTTACTTAACAGGGATGCAGAACCATTTGTATGCAACTGCTTCTCATGAGGGTCTTATAGTGTGAATGTTTGAAGGTAGTGTGTTAAGTTGGTTTTTGGAAAATGTTTTGTACTGTCATTTTTAAAATTGGAAATATTTGTATGTTGAAAGCTCATTAAACTGCTTTGTAACATAGCTGCTGCCCGTCTTGGCCAGGAGGCTCTTTTAAAAGAGATTTTTAATCTCAATGGGACATTTTCTGGTTAAATAAAGGTTGAATTAAAACTATGTAACCCAAATCTGTCTTTTTCCTGAAAGGCAAAAACATTCAAATTAAAAGTTAATTAAAATAAAAGGAAAATGATGAATATTTACAGTTTTAATAAAAAGTTTAAGAAGTGTGGCAGACATTTCCCTGCTATACAAGTAACTTATTGATCCTACTTACAACACCTGGGAATTAAATACATTAATGAAAAACTTTAAGTTTTATCATTAAGCTTTATACAGTCTGTCGGTCTATCCTATTAACAATATCCTCACATTTGGGTTACCAAAAGGTCAAATGTAATCTTAAAAAATGATATATTTGCAAGGTACTTTTAGTGTAATCCTGGCAGTGTTAATTGTTGTGCAAATTTTATATTGATTTATATCACTAACTCACAATATCTTCTTGCTTAAAATGTCCTTTTTTTTCTCATGCCAGTGAATAAAAACTGAAAAAAGGAGACCCATGTTCTTTTTAATAAGTCATGAGCCTTTTATCTTCTCACATAACACCCCCCGATCATTAAATCTTTATAAAGACATGCTAAATATTTTTGGACATATTAACTTAGTGTTTAAACCATGCAATAGGTGACTTTACAAAAACCCAGAAGATATTATTCGGGTATCAGTAGAGCAACAATTTTAGACCGTCTCTGTTTCCTCTGTTGCGTCACATCCTATAAAAGCCTTTTTTTTGTCCAGCATGTTCCACATATGGTAAATGCCAGACTTTAAAGAGAGGCATATGACACAACCTTTTGAAAATGCAGACTAAGTGCTCCCTCATGTGTCACTTGTTCAGCTTGAACACTGAAACTGTCCTATTTTGGAGAAAAGACATTAGTATGGATGTTTTCACAAAGAGTTCCCTCTAGTGGGTAAATTCAATTATGTTAAAGCAGCAGCCCTAATGAATCAACAAGATAAACTTAATCATACTTCAGACAACATTTAACAATTTAAATCTTTATTATACCACAGTACAATCTGTTATACAGATTTAAAACATTATCCATCAATCCCTTGCTTGAGATGCTCTGCTGAAATGAACTACCGGTGCCATTCTTATCCTTAGCAGTATTTCTCTGACTGTTTTGAATCTAAAAATCGCTCTAATACAACAGAACAATTTGATACCTCTTTATACTCAAGAATAAATAAATTACCTTTAAACAAATTAATATTTAAGGAATGGATCTGTTTCTGTAAATAGTTTCCCTCCATAACTCAGAGTAAAATGTGAAGGCCAGCCGAGAGTCGTCGGCCAACTCAAGCATTCGACATGGAAGGCAAAAAAGACAGAGGTGAAAACATAAAACAAGTCCTTACTATATTTACAAATAATCTTCATTATGTTCCATGTTTTTCTCGGATTAAACACTGTCAGAGCTTAATTCCTAGGATATGTGCATGTCAACAAATCAGAAGGTGCATCTGGTCCCAACAAACAACTTCTACCCCAGTGCTGTCCGGAGCGACACAGATGCACGTGAAAAGGCTGAGAAAGGCAAAAGGCAGATCTGTGCATGTCTCGTGAAAGAAGAAAAATGAAGATGAGTTCTGTCATTCATTTCCTCTAACAGTTCTTAACAATGGGTCTAGATTTTAAACAGAAAGACAGGATTGCATTCTGCACCCTCATCTTTTCTTTTTAACTTCAGCAAGGAATTTAAAAACATCTAGTGTGTGAAGAGGGGAGTGTGGCCCTCTCACTGATATTGTCTGTAGTCTCCAAAGGGGGAGGTGGGAATGGGAGCAGGGGCAGGTTCCTCTGCAAACTGGGGCCCTACAGAAGAAAAAAATATATGTATGTATTAGAAGAATAACATGATAGCCAACCAGAGGTCGGTCACAACATCAATCAAATCTAAGAGGAAAATTCTGTATGTCTAACATGTTTAATCAAAACAAACGTTTCTGACATTCAGTAAAATTCTAGAGGAAAACAAGATAAATTCAAATTTTTAGCCTGAATGGAATAAATGTAGGTATCACTTTTTTTATAATTATAATCAAAGCAGCTTTTCTGTTATTCATATTATATATCTAAATATAAAAATGAAAGTTTAAGTCCTGAGATACTATAAATAGTTACTCATTGCATTTAGAAATATGTTATAGTTATTGCACTTTAAAAAAAACACAAGCAGAATTACAGAACAATTGCAGATAAATGTATTTTATGAGCTGTATTGGGTTTGGGAGATCTAATTATATAAAGGTCAAGTTTTTTTTATTTAATCTCAACACTTCATAAAAAAAAGAGCAAAACTGACCTTTTCTGATGGTATTATTGGACCCTCTATGTTCTAATACGGTCATAACCTCTCATTATTAATTGAACAATTTAACCTGTTTGGGTTATTTAACATCCACAGTTTTTGAAAGCCTTTTTAACTCTCTGGTTGCCTGGAGATGGGAGATTGTTTTAGTCTGAAGCATTATTAGCAGGAAAAAAAGGTTACGAACTCTCTTACTGTAAAGTAAACATACACGTCAGGTGACGAGCAACCAGAAGCAAAGCTGGTTTACAGCCAACATTGTTCCGTTTGCCAAAGCAGACGTCATCCTTCATGTAGAGATAAACCAATCTAAGGTGATGCTAAACTTTATATTAAAATAATCATATAGAGGGCCCAATGTTTAAGCTGGAATAAAGAAGGAAACATTTATATGTTTTCATACCTAAAAGTAATCCTAAACTTTAAGCTTCAATGTTAAGCTATCCATGTAGAACAGTCTAATGAAATGTTGTACTCACCAGTTGGAAACTGTGATGAAGCAAATCTTGTGAGCAAGATTCCAGCGCCCTCTATCAAGGCCAGCAGAATACCTCCCATAGCAGCGGAGCCCACCATGGCAACTGGTCCATCTATGAACACATCACGCACCATTAATACAGGGAGCCTGTAGTTACAACAGCAGGAAAAGTTATTAATCAACTTTGAGCTTCAGTCCTAATGTACTCACTTCTCGCTGCGAGGATGGCTCCCGTCATGGCCCCACTTGTAATTGAATTCCAGGGATCCTCTTTACCTCTCACTTTTACTAAACCACAGTCGATCATAGAAAAGAGGCCTCCCCACACTGCAAAACTACCTGAAACACACATACATAGATGCATAAATGGATAGCAGAAAATATCTAGGCTATCACGAGTCCTTATATAGGAAACATAAACCTAAGATGTGTTTCAACCGGAAAATTAAGTCTCCATAGTGCAGAAAATCTAAATATGTCATGATCCTAATAGAACCTGATGAGGTGTTAATGAAATAGCCATTAGCTTTTTGGCGTTTGTTCGTACCTCCTAGTTGTGGAGCTCTGGTCTTAATAGCAGTTAAACTACCCTTCATTCTGTGGCTCATTCCCTGCAAACCGAAGCAAAAAACATTGATTAGCGGAAACTGCTTCTCAGACCAGTGTAGTCAAAACAGAAGAAAAAAAAACAGAACTTTAAAAGTAGAAAAAAAGACAAAAGCAAATACACACACACAGACTGAGGTCTCATTTATATATCTTAGTATCCTTGGATAAGTGTTAGAGCCACAAGGACAGTATTGTTGATGGCAGCTCTGGCAATGCAGACATGCGAACGGGTTCAAGGACCAGTAAACTTACCGATGGTGCATTTCTGAAACCTTTTACTGCTTGAAATATCCCTCCTCCAATGGCTCCCATTGTGAAAGCTCCACCACAATCATCCACAATCCTCCAGGGACTGAAAGTAGGAAAACAATTAGCTGTCATTAACTGTCATTGAGACTGAAATTCTCTTAAATAAATCTTAAATGATCAGTGAGGTGCTCTCTGAGGACCACTTATAAATGCAAACATATTGCTTTAGTCATTCCTTAATGTCATAATCTGTGCTGCAACCAAAAAAATAAAAAAAAAAAAATAAATTCAGCAGAAGTTTACAAACATGAAACTGGTTTCACAGGTTCTTGATCTGATCAGGAATCATCTACCGTATCTTTTAGATGCTTATGTATTGCATTTCCACACTTTAAAGAGTCTCTAAAAAGTTTGTAAAGTGGTGCATTTTGCACTGTTTTCTATGAATAGTCTGCCGTCTTCCACATAACCTGAACTTTGCATTATCAACTGAATATGTGGACAGTATTTTTTCACTTTCTGACAAGTTTTTCCTCCTCTGCTTTACACCTTAACTTTTTTTAATTTAGCTTTTCATCCAAATTATCTCATCTGATGAGTAAGTCTGGTGTCTTTTGTGTTTTTGCCACTGTCAGGTCTAAATTTCAACACTGCCTAGTTTTAGAACTATAATGGTAAAATACCGACACAACAATATTGATTCATGCTAGCAATTTATTGTGTGCCTTTGATAGCCACATGGAGAAAATGCACAATGATTGTTTCCAAGGACACAGATCTTTTTCTACTCGCAGAAATGATCTTCAGCAAAATGCCCCAGGAATCGTCTGGATTTCTAATAGCTTTGTCTTTTTTAGACACAGGTCGGATTTTAATTTAAGTTCACATAGAGTGGACAGATCAAATAAGTGAAGATGCATCTATTGGGTCCTGTGTCAGTACTTTGGTTTCTGAAAGTGTATTATAAAAACAATCTTCAAATAAAACTTCCCTTCTAGAATTGAGAATACGACACAAATTACAAGCATGACATTTTTTATGATCATGTGCATTTCGTTTAAACATAATGTTCTTTTAACTACGCAAGCTAATTTATGAAAACCTTCCAAAGTAAACAAGTCAGAAGGTGCAGAACACATAAAAAGAAAAAAAAATAACGTGCTCTCCTACAAGACTAAAGAGAAATAAAACAAAATACTCAAGCAGTTTTATTTAAAATATCCGAGACAGAAAAAAAGTCAGCTGGAAGGTTTTGCTTCTACCTAACTTTTCATAAGAAATAATAGTTTCTGGGACTGTAGGGATAAGCAGCATTATGTTTGGTCAAAAACTGACATAATCTGGAGCATAGGTGATTAGAGCTCTCTAAGTGATGTTGTTTTAAGAATAAGTACTTTGTATTAAAGCTACAGTGTGTAATTTTCAGCGACATCTAGCGGTCAGACTGCAGACTGCAGCAACATGAACGTCTCCCCCCCACCGCTTCTCCCCCCCAACAGTACGGCGAGCGTTACGGGACAAAATGTCTTCCACGACGTCCGCATCACCTACCTTCTCAAGTGATGAGGTTTGTTTACATAGATAATTTTACAGATAGTATTTCATTAGTCTGTGTAGGGTATAGATTTCATGTAGACTTAAGATAATAAATATACCCGTTATTTTTTCTACGTCATTGTGACGTTTTGGTGAGCTGCTTTGCATGGTGATATAAACAGAGGAAGTAATTGTAGTCATTAGTTTAACAGCGAGATTGTGTTCGCTGGAAGAATATATATTCCCCGTTTACAGAGTCCAAGTCTTGTTTGTGGCACGGGGGTTACAAGGCAAGGAAGAGGGAAAGGAAGAGGGCAGAGAGGCCGGGGTGAGCGTGCAGCTGGGGCCAGGCGAGAGAGGGGAGCCAGCGGGGTGAGAGCAGAGGAGGAAAGGCTTGAAGATCTCCAAAGGAGCCGGAGAGAAGTAACCGAGGTATATATCCAGAAAATTATTTTACAGAAAATTACTGAATCATTACCTGTGAAATGTCAGGGACGTTGCTGAATAAGTATACTGGAGAGTAACAGCATCATCACGCAGCATGTTATTGTTTTAGACAGGTCTGAGCATCCTGTACTCCAAAAACTGCAGTGATATTAGACAATTGTGTGTGTAGGATTAATTACCTGTCCAAGAGAAAACTGGCAACTTGAGCGTCACTTTGAAAACCTTTTTCCTCCATCAGTGACTTCCATCGTGTAAATGCCGTGCCAATGTTGATCCGTGTTTTTTGCCGTTTCTTGTCACTCTTGCGTTTATTCTCGTCGTGTTTCCGCTTCTTAGATGACGGGGGTTCGGTGTCCGCCGCTTTTCGTTGTGATACAGAGTAGGCATGATCCTCCATTCGTCTGATGTTTGGCCACACAGTGCCAAACAGTTTGCAAAGTCACTCACGCCTGCCGCCTTGTTCACCTTTCTTGTTACCGAGGCGCAGTATACCTGCTTCTTCTTCTTCTTTGGTTTCAGGCAGACTAAACGCTTCTCAGGCATAATACTGCCATCTACTGTTCAGTACCGTCTCAGTTCATCTCTCTCAACTTGCCGTAGTTATTTTCGAGCGTCATGGGAGATCTCGCAATCGCTAGTTTGTTGCCTCTGCGCTTGCCGTAGCGCAAAGATGTCAGCCTCCATGGCTGCGAGACCCGCTCCTATGTAATTATAAATAACGAATTCTAAGGCAACGCAAATGTTATGGTTAAAAGGCTGAGCTCATAGGTGATGATAAATAACATAGTTATGTATAATATATTAAATTTCTGAATTTATATGCCTGTAATTATTACACACTGTAGCTTTAAACTGTTTTAATACTTTTCAAGTCTTGTTCTTTATCACTTGATGGACAAAAAGTTCCTACACAAATAAAAGTTAGAATAATTATCAATTATCATTAAGTAGCATATAGAACTGATAAGATATGCCAGTGTCATGTACAGGTGCTGGTCATAAAATTAGAATATCATGAAAAAGTAGATTGATTTCAGTAATTCCATTTAAAAAGTGAAACTTGTATATTATATTCATACATTACATACAAACTCATATATTTCAGATGTTTATTTTGTTTAATTTTGATGATTACAAATGACAACAAATGAAAATCTCAAATTCATCATATCAGAAAATTAGAATATTACTGAAGACCAATAAAAACAAAGGATTTATAGAAATGTTGGCCAACTGAAAAGTATGAACATGAAAAGTATGAGCATGTACAGCACTCAGTATTTAGTTGGGCCTCCTTTGGCCTGTATTACTGCAGCAATGCGGCGTGGCATGGAGTCGATCAGTCTGTGGCACTGCTCAGGTGTTATGATAGCCCAGGTTGCTCTAATAGTGGCTTTTAGCTCTTCTGAATTGTTGGGTCTGGTGTATTGCATCTTCTTCTTCACAATACCCCATAGATTTTCTATGGGGTTAAGGTCAGGAGAGTTTGCTGGCCAATTAAGAACAGGGATACCATGGTCCTTCAACCAGGTACTGGTAGCTTTGGCACTGTGTGCAGGTGCCAAGTCCTGTTGGAAAATGAAATCTGCATCTCCAAAAAGTTGGTCAGCTGCAGGAAGCATGAAGTGCTCTAAAACTTCCTGGTATGTGGCTGCGTTGACCCTGGACCTCAGAAAACACAATGGACCAACACCAGCAGATGACATGGCACCCCAAACCATCACTGACTGTGGAAACTTTACACTGGACTTCAAGCAACGTGGATGAAGTGCCTCTCTTCTTTTCCTCCAGACTCTGGGACCTTGATTTCCAAAGGAAATGCAAACTTTACTTTCATCAGAGAACATGACTTTGGACCACTCACCAGCAGTCCAGTCCTGTTTCTCTTTAGCCCAGGCAAGACGCTTCTGACGCTGTCTGTGGTTCAAGAGTGGCTTGACACAAGGAATGCGACAGCAGAAACCCATGTCTTTCATACGTCTGTGTGTGGTGGTTCTTGAAGCACTCACTCCAGCTGCAGTCCACTCTTTGTGAATCTCCCCCACATTTTTGAAGGGGTTTTGTTTCACAATCCTCTCCAGGGTGTGGTTATCTCTCTTGCTTGTACACTTTTTCGACCACATCTTTTCCTTCCCTTCGCCTCTCTATTAATGTGCTTGGACACTGAGCTCTGTGAACAGCCAGCCTCTTTAGCGATGACCTTTTGTGTCTTGCCCTCCTTGTGCAAGGTGTCGATGGTCGTCTTTTGGACAACTGTCAAGTCAGCAGTCTTCCCCATGATTGTGTAGCCTATAGAACTAGACTGAAAGACCATTTAAAGGCTTTTGCAGGTGGTTTGAGTTAATTAGCTGATTAGAGTGTGGCACCAGGGGCCATCAATTTTGAACCTTTTCACAATATTCTAATTTTCTGATATGATGAATTTGAGATTTTCATTTGTTTTCATTTGTAATCATCAAAATTAAACAAAATAAACATCTGAAATATATGAGTTTGTATGTAATGTATGAATATAATATACAAGTTTCACTTTTTAAATGGAATTACTGAAATCAATCTACTTTTTCATGATATTCTAATTTTATGACCAGCACCTGTATGTTCCTCCAAGGTGACCTGGTGTCATTCTAAATTAAATATTCAATATTATATAGACCTTTTATATAAGTTTGTAGCTATAAATTAAAAATTTTCAGTAGTTAAGTTACTAAATCATCAGGCTTTTTATTTTTCATTAAAAAAACTTCATATACAAATGTAATTATCAGAAATATTTTCATAGACTATGAATATTTAATTCTTTTACAATTGTATGATTTAAGACAGCGCTGCCTACGGATAGAACTGGATTTATATCAATCTTAACATGAGGATAGAAGTCAATCTTATTAAGGAAAAGGATAAAGGTAAACTGATGTTGTGCAATTCCTATGAGGTTAGAACATAAGTGGCTAACTTATAAAACTGCTACATAAACAACAGCTGAAAGGTCTAACTTCAGCTGCTTAGTTTTATTTTTATTTATTTGGGGACGGAAATAAAGGGGGAATAGTATGTGATTTCTTATTCATAATCTGATATTCTTCATCCTCTGAATGTACTGAGGTGACATGTGGAAGAAAAAGCCGACAAGGTCACTGACAACGTGATTTAGCCGTGAAACCTGATGTTAGCACAACCTATTCATTTCCAATGGGGTTTTAGCATTTTAGCTAATGTTAGCCAGCTAACCGAGGCAGCTTAGATGCTTTAAATGTCTTACAAGCTGCAACACTAAAAATGATTAAATCCGAATGACATGGTAATTCAAATTAAAACCACCGTCAACGCCTTTTTAGCACAAACTACTAAAATAGCATTTTATGTTGTAACAAAACTTACCAGGGTTCTCTAGCATACTCCTCCATTTTGTTCCGTCTATCTTCCCCACTGACGTAAGTTCTCCTTCGGCTTCTTTTTCTATGACGATTGGATAATCGTAAACCAGAATAGAAACTGAATACTGCCATCTTTTGGGCAAAAAGCTGTACTACCACATCTTACACATTTAACATTTACACATATACTGCTGCAGGGCTCGATGTTAACCATTGCCCGATCGCCCGGGGCAAGTACTTTTTATTGTCGGGGGAGTACAAATTTCATTGCATTTGCCCACCGGGCAAATGCAAAAGCTGAAAACGACCCAGCCGGCGCCATTTTTGTTGTTTTGTACACATTCTCGCGTGATTTGAAAAAGACGCGTGATTAGAAAAAAACGCGAGATTTTCCGCCAGATGGCGTGATTTTTGTCCACCTTGCGGTAATTTGGATGTAGTTACCAAAACGACAAACAAGCTAGAAAGCGCTTCTGTACAGTGGTCATACATTGAAACATTTTCATACAATTTTTTTCTCTCAGACAATGGAGAGGTGCATTTAAATGTTATAAAGCTAAACATGTTAAATTGGTGACCTGTTATGTTATTATTATTATTATTGTCTTGTTGCTGCATTTATTTTGTCAGGGAAAACTAATCCTGAGTCAGTTAAAAGTCAGGGAATTCTGAAATTATGTAAGACTATGGAAACCCTGTATAAAATAACTATGTATAATGATTCTCTAGAAAAGTCACATTATATTAATAGTATTATCTTGTATACACATACTGTGACTCTAAAATAAGTTATTCATTTGTGACATTGATTTATCTTAAGCTTTTAACCTGTCAAGTTTTTTTTTTAGATTTTTAACAGTACAATTTATATTTTTCCAAGCACACTACAGTTTAAAGCAAAGTTTAGTTTGAAAAGAATGTGCAGTGTTATTTATGGAGGACCAATCCTACCATAATTAAAAATAAATACAGAAATAAATAAATGCTCCAAAAATAAATAAGCATAGAATTAATTGCCCACCAAAAATACAATAAACAAATAAATGTAGGTAGAAATTAAATTATACAGAGAGTAGGGGTGGGTATTGCCAAAGGAGTCACGATTCGATTCGAATCACGATTCACATGCCACGATGCGATTCTATCACGATGCATCACGATACTTGAATTATTGCGATGCATTGTAATATTTTCTCCTCCATGTTTTGTTTTTGAATGACTCGGCGCAGTAGAAATGCTTGTGACACAAGGCAGCGTGCGTCAACACATCCGCAGCGACATCTACTGGACTGGAAGTTGTATTACACTTGTTTTTGGCTGATGTTCGCCAACCATTCATGCAATTTTATTTACTCATTTTTTTAAATTAATAATCGATACTTGGCGTTCAGACTCGATGCAGTAGATCATGAAAATTAGAATCACGATGCATCATCATGACGATTATTTTGCACACCCCTAACAGAGAGACACCTCCCTGAGCTTCTGGTAGTAGTATATCCGCCTGGATTAATCAGCTACACAATCATTCAGGAAAACTGAATTGAGAGATGTCCAGAAGATGGTCACTGACATCTCCCACAAGAAGGTTAAGTCAAAAAGGTCGCTGCTAAAGAAAGTGGTTGTCTGTCGCTACAGACTGCTGTTTTCAAGTACATTCATAGAAAGTTTAGTGGAAGGAACAAGTGTTAGAAAAAGGTACACCAGACAACAGGGATGATGGTAAGCTTGAGAGGATTGTCAACCAAAATCCATAAAATAATCAGTGGAGCTTTTCAGTTCTGTTTAAAATATCCCCCTTTCCATTATATATAACAAAATATAAAAATATCAGACTCATAAATATTGCACTTGTCAGAAAATTCTAATTTTTAGCTTTACTTCTCATTCTTCAATATTTTGACATATGACTGACTTTATTTCATCTGTTCGCTTTTTCTATTCCTTATCTAAAATAGAGTCTCTATCTCTTAAGACTATGAGACCACTTTTCCAGGTAAATGTATTTAACCTCTCGGGTGCGACAGGCCCGGTACAGGGCCCATCTGACAACTGCTCATGTTTATCTGTTTACAGAAATGATCAAAACTCAGTCACGTGGTGTTTCATCCACACACCTTTCAAATTGGGCTTTAAAATTTCTAAAACATGTTTCCAAATTATTTTTCACAAATACTTTTTGTTTTATGGCTGTGTAAGCAAATACAATGAGATTTAACATTCCACTTGACATGTGTGACTCTGTAATTTAATGCAACAGCAGGTAGTAATTTTTAGCCCCATCCTCAATGGCCAGCATAATTGGAAACTAGAAGCTCAGACTTTTCCAAAGAGGGGTTTGAGGTAATTGGGCGACCATTTAAGGTGATGTAACCAGCATGTGTTACATAAGCTTGCGCTGTTGTTCTTACTTTCTATTTAGTTTGGTGATTTCATGGTGTGTTCAATGGTAAATTTCAATTAAACAATGGTTACATTTTAGGAGCAAAGGCTTTGCCTTATGCAGAAGGTTTTCAATTATGTAAATCAGCATATTTGTCTGGCCAGGTTCCCTTTTGTGAGTGGAAAAAATGCATTTGGCACAATTTGGCCACTTTTGCACCACTGTGCCAAATCACATTTCTGCCTAGCACACTGCCCACTAAAACCTTTGTGGAACAAACATGCTTCAACTTATTCAGTCCAAATTTGCTTGAGTTATAGTCAAGATGTGGATCTATAAAATATGAGGGTTTATCCATAGTTTCATATGGGGTTTTTGGGATTTTGCAGTGGATATTTTGGAAAAAATTTGGCAAGGCTAAATATTTTGAATGTTTTCTTTATTTAATCACCTATAAATCAGACATGGTGACATTTAAAATAGTTGTTCCACCTGAAAAATATTCCTCAATGTCTTTCTGTCACACAAAAACAAACAATTATACATGTTTGGGAGGTGTACTTGCTTTAATTCACATATGTAATTTCAGGTATACCAAAAAACCCGCCTTGAGAGTCAGTTAAAAACATCTATGAGTTAAAAATATCTATATTTCAAACAAGTCTGTACATATCATAAAAAACTATAGATATAGAATATGTGTCTTCTCTTTGTTTGCTCAGATAATGAAGGAAAACTGCGTTTTTTTCGTTTAACATAACCAACCAACATTGGAGGATCCTTAGCGCCACCTGTTGGTCACATGGCATATTTGCTTTTCCCATAACTGCAATGCAAAACCATATTTCTAGGTATGTTTTAATTACCCCTACTTGCTTGTCTTTTTATACATGATGTAAAAAAAAAAAGAAAAGAAAAGAAGATCAGTTTTGTCAGGATTCCAAGATCAAATTTTTTAAAGTTAAACTAACGTTGTTACCTCATATTTTTGTTGTATTGGGGGTAAGAGGTTTCGGTGGCACCACTTGCATGGCAGCCTGGTTTCCATCAGTATGACCCAGAGCAGATGTGGCTACAATGTAGCTTATCACAGTCAGCTTGTGAATATCTGTGTGAATGGAGGAATCACTGAATGCGGTGTGAAACACTTTGGAGTCCTGGAACTTGATAAAACACTATACAGATACAATCTATTTACCATTTAATAATATCATCATTTTGTTTAAAAAGATTCAGGGTTACAAATAATAATTCAAACATTTCTTGATGAATAGCTATCCAAAGTCTTTAATGTTTTCTAAATAAGTTCCTCAAAAACTTTTTTGCATAAGTCCAGTACCTGCGCTAAAAAATAAAGATGTAAACAGTTGACAAAACTAAAAGCAGTCGCTGCAAGTCTCTATTCTCCTACTCTGCAGAATCTGTAAGTGCAATCTCTAACATTATGCTCTCTCTGCTTTTTCTCAGAGTAGCTTTGCCTAATCTGTTCCTGTTTGGCTGTGACGCCATCCTGGAGAGAAATATCAGCTGTGCTGCTTCCATCAACGCCCTTGTTTATAGATGCTGGAGATCGGCCTGTTTTCCAGTGTAGTCCTGTTTCTCTGACCGTGACTGGCTGGATGTGCTCTCTTCATCCTCTGACATGGGAGGTGGCTCGGAGCTCGTCTGCCTGGCTGTGTGTTTCCTGGACTGCTGCTTTTTGTATCTCTGCTTCTGTCTCCTTGAACCCCAGTCGGCCTCGGCAGATGGCCGCTCACACTGAGCCTGGTTCTGCTGGAGGTTTCTTACTGTTAAAAGGGAGTTTTTCCTCTCCACTGTCGCTACAAGCATGCTTGGTGTGAGGATTGCATTTGAGTCAATGAGTCGGTTTTCCTTAGATAGAAAACTTTGAATCAATTTGACTGTATGATCTGGTTGAACTGTAAAGTGCCTTGAGATGACTTGTGTTGTGAATCGGCGCTATATAAATAAACTGAATTGAAAACCAGCTTGTTTTATGTTATTGGAAAAAAAAAAAAAAAAAAAAAGCAAAGAGTTTACATAACTTGAGAGACGCAGAGGATAAACCTCTGAACCACTTTGGCAATAACATTATTATTGTTCTTTGTATATCAAATATTATATTTTTGTTTTATCATAGATTTTACAGTGTCATGATGGGTTCACTAAAAGTGACCCAAGAATGCAGAACACCACTGACGGACACAAGGATGAAAGTTAAACAGTTTATTTATGCACAAGCACACAGTGTACACTGGTTCAGGTTCGGGGCCTGGATTCTGGTTCACCGGAGTCTGCGTGAGAGACAGTTCAGTTAGCGTTGCCAACAGAGGTTGGATTTCCTGAAGTTTACTGATTGTACCTTGAGGGTTCTTGAGGTTAGCTTTGGGAGAGTCTCTGTTGGTTCTGGAGATGAGTTCATCAGCAGAGTCCGTTTGCTGCTTCAGCGTCTCACGTCTTATTTGAACAGACCTTGGCTTTGGGTTTCCTAGCTCTAGTCCAGAGCTGCTAGGAGGTTCACTGTGAATCTTCAGGTTTGGCTCTGAGGGTCGGCTCGGCAGGTTAGCTCTTCCTGAGCTTACACAGGGGAGGCACAGGTTTCCTGGAAAACAGAAACAAGGATTAGAATCCAAGCTGGATTCAAAAGTCATCGAATTACACTGAGGATCTAGGCTTAAGGGCTGACCAACTGGAACAACACTGCGGCTTTGAGGCAAGGTCTGAAGACAGCTTAAGTAGTGGATCCTCTGATGATCTTGACGAGCTGCAGCTGTGCAGGAGGCTCCCTCAGAGGATCCACGGCGGACTCTGCTGGAGAAAGGTGGAATTTCTCCAGCTCCCAACATACAGGTGCTGGTCATAAAATTAGAATATCATGAAAAAGTAGATTGATTTCAGTAATTCCATTTAAAAAGTGAAACTTGTATATTATATTCATACATTACATACAAACTCATATATTTCAGATGTTTATTTTGTTTAATTTTGATGATTACAAATGACAACAAATGAAAATCTCAAATTCATCATATCAGAAAATTAGAATATTACTGAAGACCAATAAAAACAAAGGATTTATAGAAATGTTGGCCAACTGAAAAGTATGAACATGAAAAGTATGAGCATGTACAGCACTCAGTATTTAGTTGGGCCTCCTTTGGCCTGTATTACTGCAGCAATGCGGCGTGGCATGGAGTCGATCAGTCTGTGGCACTGCTCAGGTGTTATGATAGCCCAGGTTGCTCTAATAGTGGCTTTTAGCTCTTCTGAATTGTTGGGTCTGGTGTATTGCATCTTCTTCTTCACAATACCCCATAGATTTTCTATGGGGTTAAGGTCAGGAGAGTTTGCTGGCCAATTAAGAACAGGGATACCATGGTCCTTCAACCAGGTACTGGTAGCTTTGGCACTGTGTGCAGGTGCCAAGTCCTGTTGGAAAATGAAATCTGCATCTCCAAAAAGTTGGTCAGCTGCAGGAAGCATGAAGTGCTCTAAAACTTCCTGGTATGTGGCTGCGTTGACCCTGGACCTCAGAAAACACAATGGACCAACACCAGCAGATGACATGGCACCCCAAACCATCACTGACTGTGGAAACTTTACACTGGACTTCAAGCAACGTGGATGAAGTGCCTCTCTTCTTTTCCTCCAGACTCTGGGACCTTGATTTCCAAAGGAAATGCAAACTTTACTTTCATCAGAGAACATGACTTTGGACCACTCACCAGCAGTCCAGTCCTGTTTCTCTTTAGCCCAGGCAAGACGCTTCTGACGCTGTCTGTGGTTCAAGAGTGGCTTGACACAAGGAATGCGACAGCAGAAACCCATGTCTTTCATACGTCTGTGTGTGGTGGTTCTTGAAGCACTCACTCCAGCTGCAGTCCACTCTTTGTGAATCTCCCCCACATTTTTGAAGGGGTTTTGTTTCACAATCCTCTCCAGGGTGTGGTTATCTCTCTTGCTTGTACACTTTTTTCGACCACATCTTTTCCTTCCCTTCGCCTCTCTATTAATGTGCTTGGACACTGAGCTCTGTGAACAGCCAGCCTCTTTAGCGATGACCTTTTGTGTCTTGCCCTCCTTGTGCAAGGTGTCGATGGTCGTCTTTTGGACAACTGTCAAGTCAGCAGTCTTCCCCATGATTGTGTAGCCTATAGAACTAGACTGAAAGACCATTTAAAGGCTTTTGCAGGTGGTTTGAGTTAATTAGCTGATTAGAGTGTGGCACCAGGGGCCATCAATTTTGAACCTTTTCACAATATTCTAATTTTCTGATATGATGAATTTGAGATTTTCATTTGTTTTCATTTGTAATCATCAAAATTAAACAAAATAAACATCTGAAATATATGAGTTTGTATGTAATGTATGAATATAATATACAAGTTTCACTTTTTAAATGGAATTACTGAAATCAATCTACTTTTTCATGATATTCTAATTTTATGACCAGCACCTGTACAGTAATACTAACAACCTGTATCTTTGTGTCAGACTGCTTAAAACCAAGTGTAACAAGAACCATTTTAAATTTTGTTCTTTGTTATATTTTCATTTTGTTAAGGAGTATTTTTTTATTTCAAATTTCAAAGAATTTGATTTAAAGAAAACTTGTTTTAAGAGAATATAAGGATTTAGTTCTTCTGTTTTCAGTGGTCAGTTCATAATATAAGCAATAACTAATTTTAGTGTCTGTTTACTTTTGCACTCATATTTCCACCACTGAGTAATTTATACATTTAAATCTCTGTACAGGTGCAAAGCTTTCACACTTGAACAGTCAGACAAGCCTGTTTCTTTTCTCATACTGTAGCCGTTAGCTGCTCTATTATCTACATTATGGCTGTAGATCCAGCACGCACATCAACTATTTTTTCACACTTCATTAAATCATTATCTGTGGCGATAAGCATGATACATATTTTTCTACACAGATTTATTGTTCCTGGGTTTTTTTTTTGCAAGTGTTTTACAAAGCAGAAATGTGAGATACAAAGTCAAACCTCAGTCCTCATTATGGTATATATGGGAAATGATGGCTAAGTTTCTAAGTATTTTTCCTCTGTTTAAATGATGACCATATTTTCCTGGAGCCTCCACTGTTGGCTTAGACTCAATAATCCCAACGTTTTCATTCCTTTCCTTCTTTTCCTCCATCAGAGAATAGCGCTGTTGGTCAGGGGAGCAGCCACAGCCCAGAGACAGACAGCTGGCCTACAGCCCATTATTAGAAAGGGGGAAAGGAATGGCTCTAAGGAGTGAGCCCTCATTGAGAAATGACCAAATACGGTCAATTCATGGACACAGAGACTGAGGCTGCGTTTGGAGAGATAAACTGAGCTGTTGTTGCCGCTGCTCTCCTCTTTTGCTTCTAGCTCCTAGCTCTCTTAGGATGATGTCCACCATTTCAGACAGTTCAGTTACAATATAATCCTGATGTTTTAATGCAGCTTAAAAGGTACAACAAGCAAGATCATGAGCAAATGTCATGCATTATTGATTAGTCTTTCAATACATCTTTATATATATATATATATATATATATATATATATATAAATATATATATATATATATATATATATATATATATATATATATATATATATATATATATATATATATATATATATATATATATATATATATATATATATATATAAAGCTTAACTGGGGACTATGTGTTTGCTTTCTTTAAAGCAGAGAAATAATATAGATTGATTTTGTTTTTTTACCTCATTTAAATCTCCTAAACATCACCCTTAAAGTTTAATTGTTGCATACAGCCGAGCTTTTGTTGCTCTGGAAAGTCTTTTTTAGTACACAGCAATAGCAATGATGCAAACAAGCTCAGCTTTACACTGTTCTCCAGACTGCAGTAGCTGCAACATCCTGCCTAACCAGACGAACATCAAAGTAGTGTTTTTTCAGGTTTTTGCACCACTTCCCCCTTTTCCTATAACTGAACTAAGCAGTTTTCTAATTAAACAAAGTTGAATTTTCTTACACGTCCCATGAGTCATTTATATATCTACTCTACTTGTTGGATGCGTATGGTGCTTTGCCGATTTTACGTCCCACTTGCACACTTTGGTGTATTTGATGTGACAGACTAATAAATACAAAGTGAAAGAACATTATTTTGTTTTTTTAAACTATTTATTTAGAAAATTACCCCAAATAATCTGCAGTACACCTATCCAGCCTCACTTAACTACAGTACATATGTGCAATTTAATATCTCTTAAATAGAGTTTAGTGAAGTAATCAGAGGACTGTTAGAGAACTAACTGCATCATGAAGACAAAGGTTAGAGAAAGACCTAATAAGACATGGTTCATCCAGCATTAATCACTGGATCAGCCACGAGCAAGTGGTAACTCTGAAGGACATGCAGGACGTTTGGACAAGATTATCATTAGCTGTGCAGCCTACAAATCCTGAGCTTTAAGAAGAGTGGGAAAAAGGAAACATTTGTCAAGATAAATCAGTTTTGCTTAAGATTATATATATATATATATATATCAGACATATAGAAGAAAGTTCTCTGTGTAGATAGGCTGCTACAAAGACAATTATTTATATAACACCATTCCCACTTTAAAACAAAAGTGGTGGCAGAGTCACACTGTGAGGTGCTTTTCTCAACCAGCAGCAGAACTAATGACTAACAGAAACTCTGAGTATAAGCCAGTCTAACAATGGAATGACTTCAACCCACATACTGTATATCCTTGTGTTGAAATTGCTTAGTTGAAGTCCAGAGTATCTGTGTCAAGTATTAAAAAGTAATTTTGACATATTTTTCCATCTTATTAAATGTACGTGCAAAAGAAATGCAGCTCAATTTAGCAAAAAATAAAAAATTAAATTCACTGAGAGGACAGAAGATAAATAAATATCATACTTCTTTATATTTCTATTCTTTCAAATCCTTTTACTTCATAATACTGCTGTACTTTGGTAAGTTGGTAAGTCATAAAAACATATTACGTAACATCAAAGTCTGTGAAATGACATCATGTGAAGATGTTCATGGAATATGAACTTTTCCAAGGCGTTGTAATGTTTGGATTCATGCAGACTGAAAAACATGTGAAATGTATCAAACACTCGATATCAAATCCATTCATATTTATTACATACACAATGAGCAAATTACTCTATGAGGCAGACAGAATTTATCACTCACAAACGTACCAGAACTTGTTTTTAAAGGCATACAGGCTCTGTCAGAGACGCGTGCGTAAAAGAGACGTGTGTGTATCTTTGATAGCTTTGAATTTAGTTCACCACATAGTGTCTAGTTCCTTTCAGACCGATATTAAGATAAACGTTTAAACCAGTAAAAAATAAGACTTGAAGTATTAAAAGAAAGCTAAGTAGGGTAATAAAACAGCAAGGCTGGAAGGATTTTTTTTTACAAGATTATGTTAGACACCGTAGGACCATTTACTGATAAATGGCAGTATGTAAGTAATTCCGTTGTAAAAAATCCCTCATTAGTTTCAGGATTTCCCTGGAAGGTCTGAGATGTTTTGAGATGTAAAAAAAAAAAAAAAAAGATACCAACCAAAATGGTTCCCACAATTAATTTTTTCGTGGATTTGCTGAAGCTGGGTTCTGTGTTTGTTAAATCCCTGATATTTCCACTCAGTTTTAACAGACCTTCAGCTGTGGATCCTCTGCTAATAAATAATGGGTCAAATTCATGGCAAAAACATCAGTGATGCACTCCCTTTAAGTAGTAATTTTATTATAATTATCTGAAACTAAGCTCATCAGGAGAATTCAACTCGATTCATGTACAGTGGATCAAACAAAGGTTTATGAATTATGAATTATGTCAAAATGTTCACCACCTTTAATGTAACATGCATCCTAAACAGTCAAAATATAACAAACAAATCTGTTCATAAAGGCTGCAATGACCTGACTGCATAAGCGTCCACACCTTTAAACTAAGCCTCTGCTGAAGCACACTTGGATCCAATTACAGTGCTAATACCACTAACATTTAAAGATTAAATCTACCACTTATTATGAATTCAAGTAACCCCTGTTCAAATGACTTATTTTGCAAAAAAACTGGGCTGCAATGTCATGCAGTTTGTAGCCCTGTTACTGTACATTGCAGCAAAACAGTTCTGGGTTTACTTTTGGGTCTGGAAACTTTTTGCATGGAGTTTGCATGTTGCGCCTCTAGCATTTGTGGGTTCTCTCTGGGTACTCCTGCTTCCCACCACAGTCCAAAAACAGGACTGGTTTGCATCTCTAAATTATCCTGCGGTGTGTATGCTGCCCTGCTGTGGACTGGCAACCTGCCCAGGATGTATCCCTCCATTCATCTGTAGACTGTTTGAGACTGACACCCGCCCCCTGGTAGATAAGTGGAACAAGATGGATGGGTAGGTTACAAACTGTCAGATTTGTTCCAAAGGTACCAATTAGGAGATGATTAAAAAAAACAAGCAAAAAAAAAGTTTTCACCAATACTTTTTAGCTGTTTTTGACACAGAAAAGTGATCCAAACCAAAGAATGGTTTCTCCAGACATGTTGTGATCATGTGACGATGGATGCTGGAAGTAGAGAGTCATGCATGGTTGAGTGACCAAATATTGCAGAAGCAGAAGGGGGGGATTTTCACAGTCTTTTCATCAAATAAGAAAACTGTTATTGCAGGTTTTTTGTATACACAACTGATTCAACCAACAGATTTGTTTGATTTCTGATCATTCGTAAAGGATCTGTCACAATAACAGTAAAACAGCTTTAGTATGATTTCTCACCGTCTTCTTGTACACCGTTTTGATAAGATTGTATATACCTGTGATATCCACTGTACACACCAACATGTAACAATGAGCGGCTTCATATTATGTAGTGCAAAAGAAGCATCAATATGAACGGAAGAGAAAACATTTCATGGCACTCTCTGCATGGCCCTGTATCGCTTGTTCTCCACAGAGTCCGTTTGGTCCAGCGTTTGAGGGGAGAAAACTCATAGAGGATTTTTCCATCCTTTCTGATGCACCATTCTCCAGGAGGCTACAGGACCTTTATCTCCTGGAAAACCTGTGGTGAGATGTGTGTTCTCCCTTTCTTTTTGTCCAATTCATTCTTGCCATCAGGAAGTGTCACTGAAGCCACTTTGGTACTGGCACCTGGAAGTAGGGGGATAAGATGTGAGTCTATCTGAATGAGCTGACATGTACAAAAAGCCTTTTCTTACTTGTCTTACCTTCTTTAGCTGTTTAATGTTGCTTCCTCTGATCGAGGCTAGCAGTTGGTCCCTTGAGTTCTTGCCTCTGACGGAGCGGTCTCCATCCAGCATGGGAGGCGGAGGAGGTGGTGGTCCACCCCCTGGAGGAGGTGGAGGTGGTGGAGGAGCAGGACCTCCAGCTCGTTTTTTGGGAGTGAGCTTAGGGGAGGGCATTGGCGAAGGCATTGGAGATGGTTTGGGAGAAGACTTTGGTGAGCTCTTCAAAGACCCTCCACCTCCTGTTTTGGGTACCTCCAGCATCCCCTTCTTCTCCCCATTGGCCTGGGCCAGCTTCTGCTCCTGCAGGCGCTTCTGCCTCTGTCTGTCCATGTTGCGACTCAGGATGTTGGTGGTGGTCATCCTGGGCCCTGCTAACTCAAAGCAGTAGCCCAGTTTGAGCAGTGTGGTGTTGTCCTTCAGGATCTTGACCATCTCCATCTCGGTCTTCCCCCCGCATATGTGGCGCTGGTTTTGAAATCGAAGCTCTGTCAGTGTGGCGTTGTACTGCAGTGACTGGATCAGGGATAGAATGCCCTTGCCGGTGAGATGGTTGGAGTCCATGTTGACGCTGGTGATGGTGTTGTTGCTACGCAGCATGGCGGCGATGGCATAGGCCACGTGGTCGTCAGCGCGGCAGTTGGCCAAAGCGAGCGTCTTGATGTGGGTGTTGCTGTGCAAACCTTGTGCAAAAGCAATTAGGGTTTTTGCTTTGATGACTTCTGAGTTGTTGACGTTGAGCTCTGTGAGTGAAGGGTCATTGCTACAAACTTGCTCCATCAGCTCATCAAACATGCTGGAGTCTTCATCCTCCTCTTCCTCCTGCTTCGTTTTGCTGCTCGGGCTGCTTTTGGCCACACAATTTCCAAGTTTTTCTTTCTCTTCACCTTTTATAGGACTTTCTTTAGCATCATCCTTTTTCTGCTCAGTTTTCATATCAGTGCTGACTTTATTACATTTCTCTTTTACATGGTCGCTGTGGTTAACCAGCTCCTCTCCATCTGTTCTGTTATTTGTCTTTTCATGTTTCATCTGCTCATCTGATTTCTCGGATGGCTTGTTGGATTCGGGCTTGGTTTTATCCTCTGTTTTTTTACTCTCTGTGGGTTGGCTGTCGGGTGCTTTGGTCTGCTTCTCAACCAATTTGGAGACAAGCCCTTGTGTCCTGATGTTCTCGGATTTACGTTCCCTTTCTTTTCCCACATCCTTCTCACTTTTTTCACGGAGCCTTGAAATGATGTCTTTGGTTTTGCTGTCATCTCTTTTCCTGCATTCTTCTCTCCGTTCCTTTTCTTTGCCATTTTCCTTTTTTTCCTGTAATTTGGAGATCATCTCCTTTGTTTTGCTCCCAGTACTCTCTCTGTTTTCCCTCCTGTCTCTTGGCCTGTAATCTTCATATTTCTCTTCCTCATTCTCCTCCTTTGTATCACTCTCTGCCTTCCTGTTGTATCTACTTGAACGCCAGCTTCGCTCTTCCTTCAAACCCTCAGACCCATTGCTGTTTCTGTCCTCCACCTGGGCAACCTCTTTAGTTGTGACACTAGATTGTCTTTGTACTCCTTTCATATCATCCTCCCCTTCCTGGCTGAAGCCCATCTTCCTCAGGTATTCCTGCTTCCGGCTCTCTTTCTTTGGTTCCCCCTGCAGAAATAAAAAATAAGTCAACACAGAAACTAGAGTAGGTTATCGATTTACATTAGAGTTTGAACTTGCATTTACTATTGCTAATAAAACTGTTCATTTCAACAGAACATTTGCGGTTTTTCATGTTGCAGTAAAAAGCTTTAAAGCAATTAACTTGATTTTATGTAATAGAACAACACAAAGTAGTCCTTAATAGTAAAATGGAAGGAAAGAGATACAGTTTTTGTTTGCAAATAAATATTTGAAAAAATGTGGCATTTATATGCATTCAGTCAAAGCTCTAACAGGGTTTCTGATTCCTCCTGTTGGCTCCAGAATACTTCCCATCCATTTTTTGGCCCCTCTGCAATAAGCACACCTGCAGCATGAAGCTATCCCCACAGTGATGCAGTGTTAAAACCTTACTTAAAACCTATTTCACACACTAACATTTTTCTTGTCATCCTTTATAAAGGTCAGACGTGTATAACTAATAGTTGTCCTGTCAACAGGTTTCCAAATCTCCAGTTATTAGTGTGATACTCTGAGTTGTGCCATTTTGTATTTTCTGTTTAGTCTTCATTATGCTATTCCTTCAATAATGTTCCTTAGCAAACCCCCAAGGCCTTCACAGAACGCCCACATTCATACTGTGATTAAGGTTCTGAGGTTCTCATTGTTTAGCAGTTAGGTAACTCCTCAGAGTAACTGTTGCACTCTATTTCTCTAAGAGCAACCAGGGTGTGGAGAACCAATATGTAAAGCTAAGAGCATTTTATAGAACACTTTTCAATCCTCTAAAACTGGAAAGGACTTGGAAACAACTAAACTAAAGCAAGACGGGTAATCCACTATTCAGCTAAGGAACACAGCCAGATAAACTAACACCGTACGCAACCCTGAACAAATAAAGCTCAGTGGTGGTGGTAGTATCATGCTGTGGGGTGGTTTCTAAAGCAGGTGCAAGGAAGCTGGTCTGAGTTGATGATGGGTTAAATAAAGGAGAATCCTGCAAAAAAAAATCCACTGGCGAAATTAAGGCAGCTCTCTCCTTTCTGTTGGACATAAAAATTATAAGCAAAAAAGCAACAGCTGTTTCACAAATCTGCACCACTTTATATTTGTCCAGTGCATAAAAAAGTTGAGGGTTTATGAAGCACTTTTTCCTACTAAGTGCAGATAGTGTGCAGGAATCAGAATTGTGGAAAACATGTAGGTCACTTTAAAGTTGCTCTCCATCCATGTGAAAACGTATACACTCCTCCCTACCCAAACAACATGTTTAGACAGTGAAAGGACAAGGATTACATTTTTTTACAGCGCAGGGACACATTTGAACAGAATAGGTTCCTAAGTGTTTGATTTGTGAGCCTCTAACTGCTTTGCTGCAGGAGGCTGCGGCCCTGGCAGATGTGTCCTTAAAAGGCAGCGAGCGTAGGAGCAATCAACCGAGGAATTCCATCAGGCTGGGATTAAGAAGCTCCACAGTGTCACAGACTGGAGAGCTTCTCTTTTAAATACACAGACTGACAGAAGTGCTGCTCCTCGACTCTCAGCTGGCCTTTTGCTGCTGTCAAATGAAAAACATTTCAAGGGCTGCTTCTCTGGTCATGATTAAGGAGTTCAGTGTGGATGCAAGTAGACCTCAGAGGAGGAAACAGTTTTTCCTGGCACACAAGTCACCTTGGGGAGATCACTATTTTTGAGCTGATGGACTCAGGTTGCATGGGGTCCAGCTGGCCCAAGATTAATGAGAAATAACCTCCATTAGAAGACCACCTCACAGCAATGCTTTGCTTTGATTAGAGCCATCTAGATACTTTGAGTGGTTTATTGCCTTTTGAACCATGCATGTCTCTTTTCCTACCTCTAATGACTGCTCCCTCTGAATGAGTCTCCCTCTGGTGTCGCTTGGTCTAGCCGTGTCCTGGACATCGTTGCTCAGAGGTGGCTGAGAAGGACGGCTCTCCCCTTGGGTGACGATGATCTTCCCATCTTCTGGTCCAATGTCTGGAACACTCATCAGGTCTTTATCCAGCTCCTCCATTTCCTCAGGGGAGAGAGTGGACAGCAGGTTGTCCAGATCTGGGTCCTCGCTGACCTGTCGACCTGTACGGGTCAGTCCCCTCACCTTTCGCCTAGACATCTCTGGGCTGGATTCTTCAGAATAACTTATGGGATCAGAGGGTAAATCCTTTTAACCTCAGTCAAGATGCTGTTCTTCTATAGGCCAGTATTCCAGTGCGTTGAAGCCCTGCTGTCCTGATCATCAAAAAGCCAGCAGACGCATCAATCCGGTTACAAAGACACCGGACTCAACGTGCTGCAGTGAGGGGTACCAGTGATAAACTGCGAGAGGCTCCCATCATCAAAGTGGATTGTGAGGCTGGGACATTCTTTGAAATCCAGTTAAAGTGCATGCCCATATTTAGTTCAGGGTACACTCTCCTTTAAAGGTAATGGGAAGGGCTGGAGTTTACAGAGCAGACTTACAGACTTCCTATTACACAGTTTCTGTTTACAGAGGAGACCAGTCACTGTTTATTTCAGCTCATTTTAACTTCAATTTTATCGTTTCATTTAAGCTTTAATCCATAAAGCTGATTCTGGATGTTTTTAAGATAAAATTTACATTTAAATCGAATAGGTAATTTCAATTCCTACAATTTCCCCATTGAGGGACAATAAAAGGATTTTCTATTTATATACAAATGAAGGATAGACCCAGCTAAAATTATTAATTTAATATATAATGATAACTTATCTATTTTTGTTTTATATAAGTTGTTTAACGGTTTTATTTTACCATAATCATTGTTCGAAAGGGTAATGAATGTAGTAGTTTTTCCCCCTCAGCAGGATTTTGATTTTTCCTTTTGGTGTTTCACAAATTATCTTTATTTCTTTATGTATTTGAGCAACAGAATCTTATGGAACCCGCTTTCCATATTAATAAATAGGTAATATGCATACACACTGTAATCAACAGTCCTTCAAATACCCAACAGGTATTGGAATTATATTAAATTAAATTAAATAATAAACAAACACATAATAAATTTTCAGGACACCAGTTTTATAAAGCACATCTTCCTCCTTGGAAGTGGTGAAAATCCTTTTTTGTAGTGATTTTTAAACTGCACCATTTACTATACCAACTTTTTGTATTGTATGTATGTTGTATGTGGCCGTCAATGTTTATGTTAAACTCCTCCCTTAAGTTATAGCCCCCAACTTATGTCAAAAAGCTATTTCTGAATATTTCCAGGAGGCAAATTATTTCTTGGTCTATACATGATTTGTGTATACTGAAAATTAACTGAATCTGTCATTTTTGATGTTTATAATTTTAAAAATAATGTATCTGTATGATCTCTATAACCAGAAGTATCCGTTATTCTTATGGCTCTTTTCTAAAGTATGAATAGTGGTTTGTTGTACATTTCTAAGTATTACCTCTGACCTCTACACAGTAAGGTATTGACAACTTTAGGGGAAATTACTACAGTTCAAAGAGGTTAAAGTACATAAGAAAGTATATAAGAAAATGTTTAAAAGATTCAGTTTGTATGTATTTGCTTTAGGTAAATATATAATAGAGCCAAGAAAAAGGCTGCATCTTTCTATTGAGTGCCATTAAGGTACACAACAGAACATTTTAAGGTTTAGAGCAGACAATTTGGATTTTGTTCAAAACAGTACAGACAAAGGCAGTTAAAACTGTTTTTATATAATATAGCACTTTCCATAAATATAAATTTTCTCATTTGTAAGTTTAGGATAATTTTGATTTATTAAACTCTTTTAAAAGAGTTATTTTTAAATGTTTCGGCAGTGGGGAGCCCAGGACTATGAAATCTGTAATGGAACATAAATGTTCTTCACTTCAGAGATTTTAGCTTTTTAAAATTATAGATGTAATCTATAACTTGTGATTTTAACACTATATAAGAACATAACACTTATTCAATTTTACAAAGCAGACCAGAATAACTTCTCTACACATCATGACTGTTCTAATATTTGGAGACATTTTAGAATTAAGCAATTATACGGAGTCTAACAATACAACTTACTCATGCCATCATACCTACAATATAGTCTGGTTTAACTAGGGCTCAAATTGTGACTTGAAATAAATAAATATAGATTAGTAATGGAATAATCATTAACTGGAGTAAGGTTTAAAACTGGTGTTTATAGGGATCATTCACTAAGAATGGACAATCATTGTGAATAATTGGAGGGTAATATTGACACCTAGTGGTCAAATCAATATAAACAAACTATGACCCTGTTTTCAATTCTTACATAAAAGCAAGTACCGGTACTTCAAGAAAAAAGAAAACCAAAACACACAGTCATTTTTTACCATCCAAAGTTAAAGTCTTTATTAATAGAAATAATTTCTTTTAATTTCATTTTATGTTACACTGTCATACTGTCCATATGACAGGAGATAAAAGTCATACATCGACTAGTCATGTCTCCACCTACATGTCAGTTTCATTTAAACAGGCTCATGGGGTTGGTAAAAAACACCTATGAAAGGGAGGAAAAGAGAAGCCAGCGTTCTCAAGCTTGAACAAATCTGTACCAGTGGACACAGCAGTGAATAATTCGAGTACTGATGGCTTCCATCTAGTTCATTCAGAACAACACTACCCATTGTCCGAGCCGATCAGTAGTGTTTTCTTTCTAAACGTGTTAATACAAATAAAACGGAGTCCAACCAGGGAATCATCTGATGAGAAACACATAGCAGGCTGTACGGCAAAGAGAAGCCAAACTGGAAATATAAATAAAATATTGCAGTAAAAAGCTGTAATTTCTTGAAATCCAATATTTTTTATTATGAGAAGTCAAAAATTAGGTAAAAACATTGAAGTATTAACCCAAACTATTAGTATCCAGATCCACGGTATAAACAATGAGGTTAATCTGGTGCTCCAGCTGAATTCCAAACATCTTTATTCTCATTAATCCCTGCAGCTCCAATTTATTGCTCTGCATTTATATTATATCCTAATGTTATGGTAGTAGATGTCAGGCTACCAGTGATGTGGTTTCTTATTATCCAATGTTCCTTTTTTTCTACTAAAATTAATTGATATTTGATCCTCTCTAGCCTACTGCAAACAATAAACAAAAATCTAGCCATTGCATATATATCTGGCTAATGCAACTTTAAAAGGAATACTTGTCTAGGTTATTTCTAAACCTCAAGCATTACCTACTTTTAGGTGTCTCATTTGTTGCTATACCTAAAAGTCTTTAAATCAATCTTCCAATTCTAATGTGTGGGGGGAAAAAAAGAATCTTATGAGCCAATTTCCTAGAATATTAAGACAATCCTTTGACGAAAAATTCTCCTCTAACGAACTCAGACTGGAGTCAGTGGGTCAAATATGATCAGAAAAGTTTTACTATTCATATGTTTACCAAAAATACGAACTTGCCCCATATTTGGAAACAGATGTGTTGAATTAATTATTTGTCAAGCCAATACATGAAAAGATAAAAGGGGATGGGACGCATGAATTTTGTGCATACACTGAGATAATCTTTTCATCCCCCTTTTTTGTTAAATTGAAAGGTTTTACCTCCATCAAGAAACCTGCAGCATATATTTTCCCCCCGTTGTGTCACAGTCCTACAAAAATGAAAATAAAAAAAGGACTGTCAAAATGGAAATCAGCAGCCTTAGGCTTCAAACAAAAGCAGAAATTGCTATCGGCCAAGAAAAGCCTAAAGGGAGCATCTCTACCAGGCATGTCCAGATGGTTAGGAGTAATTCACAGTTAGAGGGAACCTCAGTAATAAACACTCAATAAAAGAATCCTATTACAATAACAGTACACTAATATAAAACAAGTTGTTACAATATTAAACATTAAACCAAAGAACCGCTTTACAAAATATGTAATACATTTCTCTCTTCTTTTACATCTTTCCTTATTGTAGACTTTGTTTTAATCAAGCAGTAAAACTCCCATAAGAGGTATTTTACAAGAAAATAAAAAACTGCAAACTTTTGCACCTTTTCTGCGTAGCAGTATGCCTAAAATACAAAGACAGTTTTTAAACCAGAGAAGAAGCAGAGGAGGAAAGCTAATCTTTACAGAGGAAGAACGCTGATGCTGAGATGGTGTCACTTAAAACATGTCCAGAAATAATTGCACAACTCCTACATCCTAAAAAGATTAGGTACATTTCAAACTAACAGGTGACGAATGGTTGTTTTTTTTATGTGGACTAACAATTGGAAGAAAAAAAAAAAAAAAAGAATATAATCGAAACGTGCAGCTCATTTGTTTTCCAACTTACTGCAATCAGAGAAACGTGAAAGGATGAGAAGCTTCACAGCAATAAAACAGCCATTAAACAGACAGTTATAAGGTTCTTTAAATCTAAGAAACACACAATAGAATTAGATTTTTTTCCCTTTAACACATAAATAAGTACATCACAGGTCAAGTTCTTGAACTTTGGTTTTCCGTTAGCCAATGAGCACTGTCTTTAAGTGACACCGGTTCTGAGCTAAACTAAGCAAATAATTGAACAGAACCTGATTGATATAACCACTGTGCAAATGTGGGACAATGCTGTTAATAAACAGTAAGAAGGTAGGAAAAAAAATAAAAAGATTAAAGTGCCTCCTTTTCTCCTCATTTAAAACCACCTCTGGTTGGGCTGTAGTTTTGTTTTAATGGGTTTGCATTGGACTGTTCATACATCTTCAACAGGGCTCCAGTCTCCCCCTTTTCAGTCATTTCTCTCTGTTGTGTTTGTTGTGTTTTTCTCCCATCAATGACCAGGATACTGAGGTGGAGAATAGGGTGGTGGGGCTGAAAAAAAAGGAGAGAAAAATTATGAACTATGATGCATTGGGAAGAAAAAAAACCAGCAGAAACAGTATTTTGAAAGCATTGAATCTGGTGCAGTATTTGTCGCGTGATTATTTTTTTAAGTCAAAGAGCAGGAGTTCTGGAAAAGATTGTTAGAGTGTACGAAACACGCTGCAGAATCAGTTAGGCATACAACGAAATCATCAGCAGGCATTCTTTGTAGGTTGTTACAGAGCCATAAACACTCAGTCTTATTCTACTATGGAACAATCAGCCAGTCTCTTCATTTAACATACCGATAACAGATTTGAAAAGTTTACTTCTTCCTAAAAAGAAAAAAAAATCATGAGTTACAGATCTACAATATGATGAATATGTCCACAGAAACTGCTGTTTCTTTCATGTCAGCTTTGTTTATTATACTAACTAACAAACAGGGCTTCAGACTGGGTAGAAATGAGAACTTAGAACTTCTAACCATTTATAGATTTGGATAAATAAATAAAAACATTTGTGAATCAAAAAAGAAAATAAATAGAAGACTTAATGCCTAATCAGTAACTTTGTCACCTCAATTTTCCAGCAGTGTTGATTTTTTTTTTTTTTTTTTTTTACATCATTTAGGCCCAAAAAAAAAGATTAACATTAGAAAATACTTTTTTTAAAAGTACTGTGTGGTCACAGGTAAACTAAAAGGTCACCTTAACTTAGTCAGTTTCTACCAACTCCTCAGAAAAGTTATACTTTTAGCTGCTTCCATGAACAGCTGGTAGGTATTCTAACAGCTTTGCATGCTAAATGGGTTTCCGTACCATGATGATGCTCTGCAGTGAGAATAAAAACTTTCCTTGGAATCCAGCAGGTCTTACGCTGATGTCAAACCTCACATGTTGCCACAGTGCTTGGAATGGTTTTTGCTGATAACGGCTGCTCTACATTTTTGATCAGAGGAAAACTTAATTCCACTGAAAAATAACATCAATAAAAATAGATAAAACTAACCAGGTCCTGTTGAAAAGTATATCCAGTTGCTTTCACATAAAAAGGATTTTGTTTGTTATAGTGAAAAAAGCTAAAAACCTCACAGAACATCTCTGAAAATGGATCAGGAGGAGTGGAGGCTGCTAACGTCTGTGTCTGCAGTGCTGCTTCATCAGCAGTAGGAGGCTGTACAATGCGTTGGTTCTGTTTACCATCAGCTTGTTGCTAAATGCCAATTTTTTTTAAGCAACTGTAAGTCAAATATGGACTTCATCAGGAGCCTTTGGATAATACTGGTAGACTGGGCTCCAACTTCTGTGCAATCTTCTTATTGCTGAATCACAGACTCCCTTAACTACAGCAATTAAAAGTCAACAATGCTTTAAATTGTGTTTATAAACATTTCTTTCGATTGTGGCATTATGTCTTCTTTTCTTAGCCTACTTCCTGTTGTCAGACTGGCTTTATTTTAAGCATTATCTTGATGTTTCAGGTCTAGTAATAATAATAAGGCCTAAATTTGGTTTTAAATTTAAACACTGCATACCACATTCTCCCTTAACTCCTCGCAAAGGCCCACGTTGTCATAGTGTGGATTTGCTGTAGATTCCTCACAAAAAATGACAATATTATCTCTTTCTTTGAAACCTGAAATGTGGCAAAAGGTTGAAAAGTTCAAGGCGAATACTTTCGGAGGCACTGTAGCTTTTACATATTGTTCAATGCTCTGATGATCTGATATCGTGTCCAGAAAATGTCAGAGTTCACCTCTTTTGGATCATAAGTCTACTGAGAAATGCCTTGTTTTTACCTTGGCTGTATGCCGGATCCATGGAGTGTGACGGGTAAGGTCCCGGATGCATCACTGGGTAATGTACAGGCATCCCAGAGTACTGGGGTGCCATTGGATAACCTGCAGCTGGATACTCTGACGGTCCAATGGGTTTTCCATATGCGTCATGCATGGGCTCCACTGGGTAGCTGGCCATGGGGATGTGCTGGGCTGGGGGCAAAAATGGAAAAACAATTATTAAAGAAAAAAATCTTAAAAACAAATCCTCAAAGAAATCAATAGAGAAATTCTCACCATCATACGGTGTCCTGCCTCTCTGCTGCCTTCTCTGGTAGAGGTAGCAACAGGAGCACATGAAGCAGCAAACCATGGTAGCAATGATGGCCACAAACAGCAGAATGGAGGACGCAATGCCGACTAAAGTACTGGGACTGAGAGGAAAGGAACAAAACAGCAGGCAGCTTAAGTTTTAAAATATTCCAGGTCTGGCTTCGATCATCCATCCCCAACTTGTTCCTGATCCACTGTCCAATCCCAACGCACTAAGAAGAGATAAGCCCTTCGTTCAGAAACAGCCTTTAACTGCCTCTCAGGTAGACACTGGAGTATTACAGTCCTTCACATTGAGCTTTGATCGTGAATAAGCTATGGTGAGAGAACTACTAACTCTAGACACTTCAAATGTTTAATGGAATTTGTCAAAACATGGTGTTTTAAAGTACTGGTTCAAAATAATTACTTGAAAATGATAATTTCATATACAGTTTAATAAATACTGTATGCGTTTAAGAAAATATCCTGTTTCCTTAAGTCAGTAACAAAGTGTGTCCGTGAGTCTGTAACTCGAGTCATAGATCGTGGTGTCGAGTAAATTATTAACAGGTAATTAAAAGGAAACCCCGCTGCAGCACGCGTCCCCACCTGAACTGGAAGAGCATGCAGCGTTTCTGCTCCCTCTCCGTGATCATCTTGAAGGGGTCCATGCAGCAGTAGCGCCGGTGGCAGTTGCCGCAGCAGGAAGAAATGAGAGGGCAGTCGAAGCCGTTGTGCCAGGTGCCATTTTTATCCACGTACCACAGGCAGTCCTCGTTCCCACTGACTGCAAAACGGCAGAAACAAGAACGCATGAGGCCAAGCGTGGCAACGTGTGGCCCGTTTCGTCACAGTGTAACGCTGTCCTGAATATGCATTCAAACATTTTATTTTCTGCTTTGGACTTGAAGGAAATAAAAGCTTTAAACAACAGCCTTATGTGTCTCTCTTGTTTTAACTAGCATGAGCTGCAGTGCATTGTTCTTCACTTTGGCAGGGGGTGAAGTCTTATTCAAGCCTCAGACCTGAGGAGATGTCACCTCTGGGAGAAAGAAACTATTCAAAGATACTGTATTCATTTGTAATTTTCTTTTCCAAACTCCCTCTAACTTTCAAATTATCTTCATAAAGTTAAGTCTTGCTCTTTTCAAGAACCTTCAAGGCATTTATAAAATTAAAATATGCCAGAGTAGTCACATAGCCTCTAAAATTCATACATTTTCTCCCACATTTTGAAAAAACAGGACTGTAACATAAAGCATCTCCAACTATAAAACAACACTTTATCAGCTCAACCAAGGGCTGTTGTTTATTTATGTAGTAAAACCAAGGCACTAAATTTTGATGATGACTTTTAATTGTTCATCTGAACAACACACATTTGGCCCTATGACATGTTTAGTTTTATTAGTTATTTAAGCTATATAAAGACACTGTTTGTCAAGTTAATCACAAATTTAAGACCAATAAATAATATTTTGATACGATGTGAAAACATCTTCCAGTCATCCTCTGTTCTTAAGTCGATTAGAATGATGCAGCTGAGGGTTAAAAAAAAAAAACTCTTATCAGCCATTTTAAATGACGACGGCCTTAACTAATGATTATTTTGTTAATTGATGAATCTGTTGTTGACTTTTTTTGATTAATCGATAAATAATCGGATGGCCAAAGCATTCTTAAAGGAGTTCTTTTAAAGAATCAAACCAAGGTTAAACTAAAACTTCCACACTTAAGGAGTTCCGGGTAGAGCATATTAAATCTTAATTTCAAAATATGTGTGGGTTGGGTTTCTCACTATAGGCCAGTTAACGATTAATCAATAAATTAGTTGATGATTAGTTCAATAATCGATTAATCTGATTAATTTTTTCAGAATAACCTAAACTAAAGAATTACAACACATACAAACATATCTGTAACTTCCTCGCTTTAACTGAATAAGAGAGAAAAAAAAAAAAAAAACTTTGGGTACTTGACACATTTTTAATGCAATTTTTAAAATTGCTGCCCAATGAGCAGCAATCTGATGTTAATGACTTGGTTCCCTTCAGTTTATATCTTCAAATTAAGACAATTATTTGATTTTAATCATTAGGTGATACTTTAAATTTAGTGTTTATTGACAATAGTTCAAATGTGATCCAAGTCAACCCCACCAGTTTAATCAAGTCATTTTGTGAGCAACCTTAAGGAACAGTTGAGAAAAATAACCTAATTTAGGGTTGAAACCATCTAAAACAACTATTAAAATCTTAATAAAAAAACATCTATGATGATGATGACTTCCTGACTGAGAATAATAAAAATATGAACGTTAATTTTTCAAAACTATTTGTGCATTGTATGTGTAAATTTATTTTAAGTTGTAGAGAGTTAATTCATAAGTTTTGTATTTGTAGAATAAAAAAAAAAAATGCAAATTGTGCATTTTTTTTTTCGCCACGCATGCTCAAATTTTAAGTACAAGTACACAAATTCTGTTCTACAAGTTGCACATAAAAAACCTTTTCCATTCTCAGTTTTGCTCCAAATGATCCAGAAATATTGTTGCAAAACGATTTGTGCATTGTAACTTTGGTGTTTTGTAACTGTAGATTTTTTTCTTTATTTATCACAATTACAAAAAGCTGTTACACCTCTTCAGATTCTTGAATACAAGTACACCAATTAACTTGTGCTATAGTTGATCTAAAACAAATGGTGCAAAACAAATTCAAACAAATATTTTTTTATTCCACAAATACAAAACTAAGAAATATCTCTCCCTACAACTTAAAATTCACACTTACAATAGTTTTGAAACAAAATAACCATTAAATAAAAACTACTGAATATATTTTATTCGCATTTATTGAAACTAAAACCAAAAAATAAATGAAAGAACATGCAGAAATCCAAAAATTCTACATTTTACAATTAAATGAAAATTCCAAAATAAATGAATAGATTCCAGTGAAAATGCACCAATCACTTGGTGCGCCTTTTTTAGAAACTTTTGTTATTTCACCCCAATTAAACTGTTTAATTAAGCTAGCCTTTAGATTTTAGCCATTAAACGCATTGTTTTAGTAGTAAATATCGATTAATAAAAAAATGTTAGGTTTACTTAGAGCTAATAATTGTATGTAATATAAACAGTAAAACACAAGTTAGGGAAGTGATATTGTGGAATTAAAACAAATAATTAAATGTAGACCAGTAACTCTGATATTACGATGGTTGTCAGAGACACATTAGATAATTTCAGTAAAAGAAGCTGGGAATAAAACTGGCTAACGGTCTACGGTTAGCTGGTAAGCTAAATAGTTAGCCGCTGTACTAAGCGTTACCGTTAGCTACGTTACGGCCTTCGCACAAAGCTTTTAATCTTACCCGGAGAGGTGGAGAAGACGATGGCGAGCAGCCCCAAAGTCACCCAAATGAGGGGCTTTTTGCTCGTCTGAAAGACCATTTCCATGGTGAAAGAGTGAAGCGGGGAGTCTTAGAAACAGAAAGGGGAGTTCTTCGTTAGAACCCAGCGAAAGCGGCCCGGCTAGCGGCCGATATCAGGCATAATCCAGGATGGTTAGGGAACACGACATGTGAGACGGGACAGGGTTGAACACTGCTGATTTTATCCGTCCAAACGACTCATCGCGACGGTGACGCTGTTCGCCGAGCAGCAATAGGACGTTGCATTCAGGGGTTGGAGGATAAAAGCAAAACCCAATCGCCCTCTACCTGATGGAAGCTGATTTAAAACTTACCAGACGCTTAAATTTGTAGCTAACATTTCGCATCTTGTATAATTTTAGATAGAGATCTTTTTATTTTTTGAAAAATTTAATATTTAGACTAGTAGTCCTGTCTAACTAGGTGTCCTGAATGCATCATCCCTTTTCTCACCCCGCCCTCGTGGGATGAGGAATGATTTAGCAGTCTGAATTTTAATATAGCAACAAATATCAGTTATCAGAGGGATCCGTCAAAAATCGTGTAAGCCCACAAAAAAAAGGGAAATAAATACCAGTTTGTATCTCAAAGTTATGGCTTATTCATCCAAAAATGATAATCTAATAATACATTTTAATCAGAGTATTAAAAATTGGCTTCCATGAAAAAAAAAAAAAAAAAAAAAAAACACTTGGAGTGGTATAGGAGGCATGTTTATTTTTGATTACAAAATGAACAAGGTAAAAATTACTAAATATTTTCTGCAGGAAACATACACATGTAGGAAAATACATACTTTTTTCCCCATCATTTTCATCTTTACCATTAATATTTCCTAATAAATAATGTACAGGTAGATGTCAACCAAGTTAAGTTTAGGCTGTTATGTCCTCTAGTTCACTAAAGTTAAAAAAATAGCTTTGCCTTGTCTTAATTTGTTTTGCCTGATGTTTTCTACCACTTTTAAAAAGGTAGAAATCACAAAGATCTATTGGAATCACCTCTCTATACGTTTTTCTTCACTATCCTTATTCATATTAGTACTTTCTCTGGAGGAAAACTCTTGCAGGTTTTCTTTTTTATCCTTATTCAATTCAAACTCATTTGAACAAAAATGGCCATCACTTCTCAGCCTGAAAATCTGAGCTGATAAAAGGAAATTTAGTTTATTTTGAAGTGTGAAGCTGGACTATATTCTTGCTCAAATAAGATACACTTGTCTCTAATAAATAAAGTGTAACACCAAGACAAAACCATTTAGTTTCTTCAAATCTGTCAGAAATCCATACTGTTCCAAACACAGATTTCTTAAATTCTTATTTTGTAACCTTAATGATACATACTTGGATACAACTAGGGCTGGGTACCGAACTTCGGTACTTTTATGGTACCGACCGAAATGCTTCGGTTCTACAGAGTATCGAAACATGCCTCGTCTTTCGGTACCAAGTTTCGGTGATTGGCTGGAACACTTAAGGTGATTGCGTCATCCAGGAAAAATACACAGGTGGTCACGCCTACAGCCAGGGTTCATGTGTATCTTTTGTGAACTGGTTGCAGCGTCGCGGAACCCCTTTAAAATGCCCCCCAGGTCAAAAGTGCGGCTTCACTTTATTAAGACTGATGCTAATAGTGCACAATGCAATACATCGTGCACGGAAATAATTTAAGAGCAGAAAGTCGCTCTGTGTTTGACTGCAAGAAGAGCGGACCGCAGCCAGCGCGACCATCCTCCTCTCAGCAGCCCGTGGGCAGAGCAAAGCCAGAGCGGAGTGAATCATGCTGCTTTCAAACTGGACGCAGCAAGAGCAGCAAAATCTCGTCTGCTGCTTAATTTTTGCTGCTTGTACCAGCTTCTGACGCGCTGCTGAAGAAGCTTTGCTGCTCTGGCTGCGCGGTCGCAAAGTGGGTCAGACGCGCGTTGGGCGGAGCTACTCTATCCTTTATTTGCCTTGCAGCTATATTTGCTGTGATCAGTGGGAATAAAGTAGTTTTATTATGTTTTTAAGTGGGAAAATCCACCTGAAAACGTAATCAGTGCAGTCAGTTCATCCTGCCATCAATATTTCTGTCGGAGCCGCTCAGACCCCCCCCATACCAGCGGTGCGCTGTCAGTAGGATCCCATTCAACGGGCTTGTTTGTCAGACATGGTAATTTTTCTAAAGGAAAACTGCTAAGTAAAAAGGTCCTCACAATGTAACAGTGAATATTAGACACTGAATTATTTATTTTTTTATGTAAGAGGAAAAATGTAAATGGAAAAACAGAGCTTAAAATAAAACTCAAGATTTGTACTTTTTTATGTTGTGTAATTTTCTTTTTTTTCGAATTGATATTATAAAACCGGTATCGAAAAAAGTATCGTTCAGGAACCGGTATCGAAGTGAAGGTATCGGTATTGGTACCGGAACCGAAATTTTTTTAACAATACCCAGCCCTAGATACAACTGTTGGTTTTTACATAACAACCTAAAAGGAACATTTATTTTCTTGCTCAAATATAGTGCTGCATGCAATATTTTGAGTTTTGAGAGAGTTGAGAAAGACTTTTGTTTTAAAACCACATTGATATTTAAAACTGGCAAAAAGGACATCAACTCAGAAGTTAACTTTCAAAAACCCAAGATGATTTCATCCAGGAAGTAAAGGCACCGAAGTACTTAATTTTTTCCAACTGGTTTGTACACTTTGTACACTAGAGTTCAATTATCAATGCAAAAGAAAAAAAAACGTAAATAATCCTCTTCTAGGAGCTTTTATTTAGAAATATCTTTATTCTAAACTTCAATAGATACAATGAAATGACAAAGCATTGAATCAAAATGGCAACAGTGTAAGTTCTCATCTACCCATGGAACCCAGAGAAATGACAGCTGGTCGGAGAACTTTGCATTTCCTGTCAAACAGTTTTCTGGAATATAAGGCCACCACAGACTCCTTCCCTCTAAAAAGTTAGTTTTTTTTTCTCCTTCAGACAGTGTTACATCTTTTTCTGAAGAACTTACTGTGATGCATTTCCACTGAAATACAAATGTGATAGGCTAAATTACAAACAGCACTTGGTTAAACAGTCGGCCCCGGGGTTCAGGTTCTTCAGTCCTTCCAGGTAAAGACCCTTTACCTTTTTAGTCCAGGCTGAAGGTCTTTCTTCCATAGCAGAAAATGGCGGTCCTTTTCAGGATGAGACTGATGGAGTCTCTTATTAGTATGATCCTTCATCTCATCTTTTACATAAACTAAAAAACTGAGATCAAAGGTAAGTGCATGAGTCCTTTCCCCACTTGTTCTCCTTGGCCTGTCGATATCTGTCCTTTCAATCAGCCTTAAATTCATCACGAGTGGCGTCACAGGGCGATACAGGGACATTTCAGGGTGATGCTGATGGACGATGTGTTGGAGCATCCAACAGTAAAGCTACAGGCCTATAGACTGCAGGGTCTGTCTCTCAGCGTTGTTGAGGTGGCTGGAGAACATGCTGTAACATGCCTGCTGAGCGAATTGTATCAGAAAGTCTGACAGGTAAGCCTGAGGAGAGACAGGGGGCGGGTTTACAGATGAAACTTAAGAAATTTATAACCACAACATAAGGTACATAAATATTATTCTTTCGCTGATAAATTTACAGCATTTTCTTTCGGTTTTTACACAATTTTAAAGTGCAAATACATTTCTTTATCAATTACCAGAACAATTTTACAGGGGTGAAGATTAAACATTTAATCTAAAGAAACAAGAGAAGGAAGAAGAGATAAATAGACAAAAAGACACAAGAAATAAAAACTGAGCATGTACCTGCAGATCAATCTGATAAATGGGATCTTTCAAGGCATCTGGATCATCCTCCTCCTCATCCTCATAATAATCGTCCTCTGTTAAAATAAAAAAGTGGAAAAAAATTAAAATCCAGGTTCAAAGTAGAGGAGCCCATCTACTCAGCAGGTGTGCTTTACCATATTTGTTGGATGAAATCAGATCAGAGAGCAGCTGCCCTGCCAATCCTTCATCCTCCTCTTCGTCCTCTCCATCTTCCTCCTCCTGGTCGTCCCACATGCCACTGGAATCTGAAAAAAAAAAAAAAGAAGCACATAAAAGGGTCGGTGAAGATTTTATTGGGGGGGTTGCCAATAAAAGGTCTATACTGGGTGCTCAAACATGGAGCCATTTATCGTTCTCCTCACCTTGGCTCCAGTCTGCGGCGTTGGTCCTGCTGGCGTTAGCTTCCACCACCGTTGACAACTCGTTTATGATCAGTTTAAAGATCTTCACCAGTAAAGGAATGTTTGTCCAGCGCTCTGGTTCTAATAAAAATAATTTAAAACAATAAAAAAACAACCTTAGTTTTCCTCTCACTATGTTTAAAATATATGACCTTTAAAATAAGAAAATGATTTATTGATCGTCTACTTTCTGAATTATGTGGATTTACTTTTGGCAGCTTTGGAGCGAGTGCGAATGCCTTCATCGGGGCTGTAGATTTCCTCTCCCTTCACCATAATGTCCTGAAGCCGCTTGTCATCTGTGTTGATACCATGCTGCAGGAGCTTACACAGCGCCACAGTGCTGCACAGACAAACGCCATAGAAGGAGAACATTTGTGGGAGGCAAGATCAGATAACTAAAAGCACAGCATGAATCAATCCAAACCCTGCAGCAACTGAAAAGCAAGACTTCTGCAGGAAAAGAGGTGTCCTACCTAACTTTACCCTCGTACTGTCCATAGAAAAGGTGCTGTCGGCTCATCCACTCCATCATGACAAACTCCAAGGCAGGCTTCCCCGTCGGTCCTGGAAGGCTGCACAAAAACTCCAGCAGAGGCTCCAGCTGGGAGTGAACCAGGTGGGCAAATACCATGATGAGGGACTAAAGGTGGACCAGAAGGGAGACAAAACAGGAGATAAAGGGACTGGAGGAACAAACCATGGATGCCTGCCTATACAGGAGAGTCTCAGTGAATCAGAATGTCATCAAAACATTACAACCTTCATTACTTTGATAAGAAATTATTGCACACATGGTTTTTTCTATTTTAGATTTATCTGGATAACTAATGAAAACCCTTAGTTACCTTCTTAGGAAATTATATTATATAGGAGAGATTGAAAAGGAAAAAAGTGCACAAGGCCATGCAGCAGTTTGTGTAAACTTCAGGACATGAAGGGCATCTGCACACAGATGTATCTATAAAACAGGTACTACTAGCACTTTACTTGCATTTAGTTACTTGTGAACCAGACTATAGCAGA